AACATTGAATGAAAAATATGGTTCTGGATCGTTTTGGCAATTAGCAGTAATTAATGATGATGATATTATTGGTATCAGGGAAAGTTTACGTCCAGGATCAACGTTAGAAGTAGCTAAAATTAATCTAACAAATGGTAGTATGAAAACGATCGGAACATATCCATATGGTTCATACAGTTTAGTTATGACATATGCATCAAAACGTCGATTATATTATAATGTAATTAATCCAAAAGTGTATGCTGTCAATGTTGATACAGGAAACTTAGATGTTAATATTCAAATACCAAATGGATATTCAATATATGCCTTAGACTATGATTCTATCAATGATCGTTTAATTGCTCTAGTTTATTCTTCGTCAGAAACAAACGGTTGGATTTTAACTCAAATGATAATAACAGAAAAACAAGAAATAAAGTTTGAACGTATTGGTACAACAGTAATTCCATTTGAGAAATATCTATGGACCACAACATATACAATAAATTCAAACGAACATGCATGGATGACTATATGGAGTGATAAAAATTCGAATGATAGTATTTTTATTTCATTGAATATCGATAATGGAGAAATAATCGAAAAATGGGAGATAAATTCAAAGGGTTTTGGTAATCTAGTTTGTTTCGATTAAATCGGTCATGCTATCTATCTGTGCTCAAGCATGTTATATTATTTTTTGTCAAAGATTCTTTTGTCAAAATAAACACATATTGAAACGATCATCGAGTAGAAGCGACAAACAATGCCATAAGAAAGTTTCTTCCTATTCTTCTAGTATTTGTTTGTAACGATTCAACGTGAACTCTTCTCCACTACGACCAATGGCATTGAATTTTGACATGTGATGATTATGAATGTATTGTGTATTTCATAAAATGAGATGAATAGTATTGAACGAATTCATGAAAGAAGAACTTGACTCTTAGGTGGTACTATAAGCAGAAATGATTGTCTTCATACCACTGATTTAGAAAAGATGAATAGAAGATTTATTCTTCTTAAGAGAAATATTATCTAGATATGGTAGGTGTGGATTTCGGACACAGTAAAGAGTTAGATGACAAAACAGATTTGTTAGATCCGAACCTATATCGTACGTAATAAGAAAGCTACTATGGTATAGAATTTGACTTTATGTTGAATCTTGCTTATCAATGAATAGCTCTCTTTCAGCAGCTTTTATAAATGAAATGGTATGAATGTGAGCGTGGATCTTCTCGTCATCTAAACCAGCACCGCACCCGCACCCTGATTCACTAATAGTCTTTTTGGTATCATATACTACGGTTACAATTGTCTGTGGGTGTGGGTGTGGGTGTGGGGTGTGGATGTGGGTTCATCTTGTATCAAGCAACATCCACACCCACACCCACACACTCACCTCCACAACCCACACCCACACCCCACCCCACCCACACTTCTCACCCATATCCAACTCGTAAAACATGAACATACACATAGTCAACAAACACCGACCTAGAACATTTTATTCTTGTAACATAATAAAATTGAATTATTTGTAGAATGATGAAAAAAGTTCTCAATAGTATCTTTGAGATATGTTTAGGCTCACAATTAGAATTCAATTTGCAATAAAAATCTTGATTGTGCGAATCTTATTGGTTACTGCGTGTGATAGGTCGAGCACTGCCTAAGAGTGATATATATCGGGTTATCTTCGTTGGTCTGTGGAAAGCCCCAGATTTGAGTTACCATGAACACAGAATATGGAAAGATAAGTACTTCTTTCTCTTTAGGATACTCAGATATATGTTCAACATTGAGGCTACTCCATTTATCTCGAATGATGTAAGTGCACATGACGCCCATTTTTACTGCTTGACCATGAATATTATGCCGTTGGATCTTTCCCAAGAAAAACTCAGCTTCACTTTCATCGATTGTTGCCGAGAGAAATGATTTAATCATCACTTTTTGGTTCACTGCATATTCTCTGAGGTCATCTTCTGTGAGGCTCATTCCACGATAGGCTTCACCATTGAAACGAAATTGATCAAAGCAAGGATTGAAAGCAAGAATACCAATGTAGAACTGACGTTCCAATTTTCCGACGTCAGTGTCACTGGCCAAGTCGACATTGAGTTTTGTATAAAAACCTGTTTCAGCTGTGTAAGCTTTGAGAAGATATTTTGGATCTCTTGTTGTGAGAGCCATGTTGAAAAATCCTAAGAGTTCTTCATATTTCTCAACATCTTGAAAATGAGGTTTGATGTAATTATTTATTATTTGTTTCACATAGGGTTCAAACGGATGAACTCCATATTGCCTTGTAGCCTCAATGTTTCTTGCTGCCATTGCATGTGCATTAGCAGCGACTAACAGCCATTCTACTCTACCAGAATTTGCCACATAACGAGTATTTCCGGGTATGCGTTCAAATAGTTGCTTAATATCATTTGATGCAGCTTCCTCATACGGCAAACACTTGAATTTGTTCATGATGCTTCGACTGACTCCTTTCTCCAAGAGTAGTTTCACTATTTCTCGATGTCCTCTGAAACAAGCTACATGAAGACCCGTGCTTCCATTTGGTTCCAGTTTATTCATTTCGTCGATTGAAAGTGTTCGAAGAAGTTCTCGAAGTTTCGCAACATCATTGGGAATTGTTTCAAAATTATGCTAACATGTTTTAGTCATTTTCTGCATGATGAATTGTCAGATGCTCCCGTATTGTAAAAATGATTAGTTACAAAGTTGACTATTGCACATTCCATTTGGGATGTAAACTTACAAAAAGATAGAGCTTGTCAAAAATCCATCAAATAAAATATGTCGCTGTTCTTGTACATTCTCTTAGAACAATGAGAAAGAGAACGAAATTGCTCAAAAATAAACAAGTCGATTTTCAACAACTATCTTCTGACGGTGTTTTTTTTACCGAACAAATGGTAGACTCTCCAGACTTAGGTCAATCATAAGCAGTAGAGCACTCCTAGCTCATAATTGCTGACTTGAGATTGCCTTCACAGCCTGTAGAACAAAGCCCAACAGCTCAAAATGTTTATCTAATGTTCAACTGAAACTCCAGAATGGATCAAAACGGCTTTCCAAGTGCCTTTTTACGTTCAAGTACAGTAGATCTTCCACATAGACACACAGTCAATGGTCTCAGGAAATAGTTTGTATCAGGAATAACCTTTCCGCATAAGAAACATCTCGCAAGGGTCGATGGCTAACAACTGTCTAGGCTCCTCGTTTTGTAAAAAGTCTTATTACAGCAATTAATGTCTATGAGTTTGAAGACATATCTGAGATCTTGACTGACAATCATGTGAAACTCATCTCACTGTCTGTATGAGAGATAGTAAGTTATCGCATTACCATTAATACTGCAATTATGTCTACCTTTAAAAATGAAACGGTGCATAATAGGAATTAAGAGTACGGTCAAAAGGACTGCATTAATTATTTAGATCAACATGAGACCTGAACAATGTATCTATGCATTCAACACAATAGAACAATGCATGCTTTGAAAGCAGCAAAACTCAACATTATCGACGACTACCTATAGCAACTACTTTAAAAATTTTTTTGGGCCTTCAAAATAAGAAGCCTTCACTGTATCAACATTTGCACCATAGCTACGAAAACAGAAAATTACGCGGAAAAAACGTCGACCACTGCGCCGCTGCAATCGATCGACTTCCATCTTACCTTCATTCCTCTTAATCATGTCATTTTCGAATAGTCTTTGTCTCGACAAGCCACATAGAAAGCAGAGAGAGGTGTGGGTGTAGCTGCAACATTTGGTACTGTGTTTGAAATAGTCTAAATGTGAAAATTGGTTTACAACTGTGTCGTTAATGTTGCCTCAAACTTTATGAAACAAATGACTATCTGATTTATCAGAAGACATGAAAAATTTCAGATTGGAATGCAATAGTATATTCAAAGAACAAATAATGAGCAATTGTTCAATGTGCGAACATTCATTACGAAGTGATCTTGGTCGTTTTTTGCGTTATCTAGCTGCATAATTCTCTGGCACATCTCGCATCTGCTTGGAAAATACACTCATGCCAACATCTCTTCTTTTTTTCAGTCTTCATCAAATGACACCATTCAAATTGATATTAGAATGAAGTTGGGGAATTCATTACACTTTTTACTGGTGTCAAACTAAGAATCCAGAAAAACGAGTTGCAACATCGAATTCATAGTTGACTTACGATGGCTCGTTCAGAAGAACAACCTTTTACAGTGAAAAAAAAAACAAAATCTTGCTTAGAAGCCCATCAGTCTCTTATAAAAGTATATTCTAGAGACTACAAGATGTCATTGAAAACGTTAAATTGAAATTTCGATGGAAAATCATGTTTCGGATAGGTTCAATCTTGCAGCTGTCTTGACAATAGGGTATGGATGTGGATTGAGCTCTCCGATTGATGGAGACCAACACGCTTTTGCTCTTGCAATCAATGAGAGCTCTGTTAAGTACGACTGGGGAGCAACTGTCACAGGAGCATCTTTCATGGAATCCAAAAATACATTACTTTCATAATTAACTATAGCAAAATCCAAGGGGTTAACTGTTTCTTCATCAAATACATTCACGTCATAGTGATTTTGAAAAACATCTCACGTATACTTACTGAAGGATGAAGAACAGGACTCGTCTCATAGCCCATTCTAATCAAATGAATGGTAGATTCATTCCCAATATGATAGGAGGAAACCGTTCGATGATCATCAACCTCTACATCGTTGATAACTAAAAGTTGATGTTCGGGTGGAATACCTTCCTGATCTCGAATCTTCCTTTTCACCTCTCTGATGGTATTAGATGGTTCGATCTAGTGATTACAAAAACAATAGCATCATTTACATGTTGTAAAATAGTAAGAGAAAAGAAGATTACCTGAAGTGTGATTCTACCACCGTCTTCGGTCTTGACAATGACCCTCTAGAAGAAGAAAATTCACACAAATTTTACGTGATATGATTAAATGAAGTTCTTTAAAACAATAATGTACTCAATCGATAAATTATCAGCTACATCGTATCTCGGATGCAATATGTCAGTGATAGTCTGAGCTCATCGTAATTAGGACAACAGTCTAAATTAGGTTCTTGCTCTAGATATGTTCAGCAACATTTCATATATACTAACCGAAATGTCACTTGTGCTATTTGATTCACTATAAATCAGTATTAGATGGATGACAGAACTATTGTCAAGTTTGTAGTTGGAAACAGTTTGATCATCTTCCAGTTGTATATCGTCAGCGACTAATAATTGTTGGTCGAGAGGGATACCTCTCTTATGTCGAATCTTCTGCTTCACATCTCTAATTGTATTTGATGCCTCGATCTAAAGATTATAAAACGACGCTTTTGATACCATGTAGAATAGAAAGTAAGAAATAAATTACGTTAATAGAGATATTGTCGCCAGCTTCAGTTCTGATAATCATCTGCTAGAATAAGAAATCAGACACGATAACGTGATGTTCTTGAAATAAACTATTTAGTACAACATTTTTATCTGTCTTTTGACTGTCTTTAACATATAAACTTAATCAGTGGGTTCTTACCTAAATTGTATCTGTCAATGCAGTTGATTGGTGATGGTATAGCCTAAATTAATTGTGGGAAGATTTTACGAGA